AATTTAAAAGGACAAAAAACTGTACCGACTCATTAGTAAATTGGTGATTCTTGAGCAAAAATTATCACTAGTAAGAGTGTGTTGGAGGAGGCACTTGGCTGAGATACTTAAGGAAAGAAGTGTCGTCTGTGAGTGGAGGAACTGTTTTATTTTGGGATAAAGCAAGAGAGGGCAAGAGCACTAGTTATAAAGTTTTTGTAATTTTTATTGGTATAATATGAATTCAATGGCCCATGGCTTTAAATGTAAAATTCCTTCATTGTTCCACTCAGTTTCATTGCTACAAATTGAATTTGTCATGGTTAAAAAGAATACTTCAAGGGTTTGTGTTTTGCTTGTGTTTTTTGGCTACAGATTGTTCAAATCAATCCAAGGTTAAACCTAGTGAGCAAATGGTATATCTTTTAATTAAAACCTTGATAATTTGAACAAAAAATAATCCAAGGAGAAAAAATATGATAAATTTTAGGGTTAATTTGCTGTCTAACCATATTGGGCTTTGAAATTAAGAATATAGCTATTATACTTTAAAAATTAAGCCACTAACAAACTGGAAAATATTTCATAACCTTGTCCGTGAGCAGAAAACTTCACCCCCAATTTTTTTTGTCAACCTCGACATGAACAGAGATGCATAATTTACATCCACAAATATACAGTACATTCAGTTTGAAGTCTAGAGTTTTGTATTCAAGGATTAATATAGTTAAAACTAAACCCTAATCAACATTAGTGAACCCAAACAAATAAATGTACAATACATTCAACTCAACTCAAACTGATAAATACATAGTGATTAGTATTTCACATAACACAAAATGGAATAAAAGTGATAAATCTTACAATTCAAAATGGAATAAAATAGTCAATAGTTAATACATGGAACATGCTCTTACAATTACAAAAGCATAACCGAGAGCTTGACAATGTGAATTCTTATAGTATAGTAATGTTGAATCTTTCTTGCTTAATATGTTGGCATCTTTGTCTCCGATGCACGAGCTTGATCCAAAATGTAGACGTGTTGCAGAGTGTTGAGCTTTTGAATACTCTCGTTCAATATCATATAATATCATAATACACAGCAAAACAATTCATCCAAACAAGATTATGGGGGATTTGATGGGATTGGATAATACATTTTCCTTGTGGCTGCGTCATTACCAAAAAAAAAAATCTATGTCTCACCATATAATTTTCGATCCAATTTCGTCTATCTGGACATTTGGTCCACCAATTCGATCTCCGAGATGGTGGTGTGCAGCCGTGGCTTTCTGAAGAGTTGTCTACATCGCGAGTATGATGGGTTTCACAATTTTCGTCGCGAAATCGATCGAGAAATTAGATCTCACAGATCATAATCGCAATGATTGGCGGCTTAGTTGCGAAATTGAGAGGGATGAAAGACTTACTGTTTAACCAGAAAGTCATAGATGCAATTGGCCGGAGAAGAAAGCTTCTAATGCTAACTGAAGATTTGGCACCGAAAGCTCCATACTCTGCTACTAGAAGAGGCGAACCACATCGCATAAACCAATCCTCCTTCTTGGAAATTTTTTCCTCACTTTCTATCAATCATCGACATCGTCACCCGAATTTCATATTTTCTTTTTCTCAGATTCGCGATTGTTTCAGTTTTCTATTGTTTCCTCAAGATTTCAGTCTCACCCAAACTTTGAACTCTATCACGAAACTGTTTCTCTTTCTTTGAAAGGACTTTTTCGGTAATATTTCATAAAATACGGACTATATTCTAGCTATGACCTTCTTATGGCTATTTTGTTTTAATATTAAGTTTTTTTATGGTTATCTACTGCTATTTCCCTAAATTTTAGTAGAGAAAAAAAAAAGTTGAGCAGAATAACAAAAAAATGAAGCGGCAGAGGAAGTCACGAGAGTGGAGGAAGAGATTGGCAAAGGCACGAAAGTACACGTGATGTGGGCCATAACGTTATCACGTGTTCAAGGCCCACTTTTCTTCACGCCCATTGGCCCACCCCTCTCCTCTTTCTTCCTTTATTACATAATTCCCTTTTTCTGAATTAAATATGTCAGACCGACGCCATCTACTGATTTTAACGGCCGTATTGTATGTGGAAGAAAGAGAGATCACCCATGTTGTACGTCAGAACTCAGAAGAGCAATAAATTCTTGAAACATATATAAAACGTTTTGAGGTAAAGGTTTCAAGAAAACAAAGATTTATACATAATAACTTGGGTTCTTTGAGATTTTGATTCTTGATCTATAAAATCATCCACAAGAAAATCCAAGTGAATCACCTCTGTTTTAAACCATCTAATCTATGAAATGCTCATATCCTTACAATATGTGTGGGGTTTCTTTATTTTAGGTCGTAATTACTGTTCAAAAAAAAAAAGGTCGTAATTATGGCTGTTACACTAATTCACTCATAAATTGTTATTTTCGTGACAATATAGTAGTGGTAGGGTTAATTATCCACAAGATAAAAAACGAAATGGAAGTGATCGAGATCTGGAATTTAGATTTGTCTTATTTTAATCGAGAACTAGTCGGGTGAGGCCGTTTCTCCTCGAGAACCACATTGATGCTTTCCCCCATAAATCCATTTCTTGTCAATATGACAATATATAATTATTTCTTTTATTTTATTCAGGTTTTACTAGATTAATTTGTCATTGTCCAAAGTACAACCAGAAAAACTGTTTAGACACTTTTAAAATAAAATTCTCAGAAGTAATGAAAAATAGATAGAACAAATATTGGTTTCTTTAGTCGGTGGATATATACGAAGTTAAACTGATTAGAACGTAAAAAAAAGAACATAGATTAGTCAAAACCCAAGAACATAGAGTGAAATGCAATTCTTATCTACCATTACCAACAATATTTCTTAGTAACTAAAATTAGCATTTACAACCAAAAAGAACTCTTAAAACGTCGGTGAATTAGCTCAACATTTTAAGAGTTTTGTTTTGTTTACGTATAAACTACTGTAGAAAGCTAATAATTTGCTTTTTAACAATATCAGCAAAAGTTGATTTTTCTTGAACATGATAGATTAGTTTGTTTTTATTATTGTCCGGTCTATAATATTTTGGTTTATTATCTTTTATAATGAACTTCAAAATTCAGAGTATGTTTCCAAAAAGAAGCCAGGTGTTTTACATTTCCATAACTAACTGATGAATGCATCTGAAATACAAATTTGGATCTCGTGAATCCTTCACATCAATACAGCGATCAGATTGTTTTATATGAATTAATAAATTTTATAATGTAGTGTACTACTCCAGAATCGAGACGCTACACATCTGATAACGAACGATCTTGGAATCTCTCGATCTATTTATTTTATTACAATATTGTTCTCTTGCACACTACCTTAATTACTCTTGTCGGAAGTCCAAACTCCAAACTCCAAACTCCAAACATAGAATTGGCATCTCTCACGCTTGCAGTTAAAGAGATCATCTGTAGTCTGGTGGCTATCCAGAGTCTGGCCAAAAACATAGTTGAAAATCTGATAGATTGGTTATGAGTTTAACATAAGATCGAAAGAGTCATGAAACATACAGTATTTAACGTCGAAACTGAGTTTTGATAAACAGATAATTAGTTTGGCAAGCGATAATCACGCTTGAATTTGGAGACTGACATGTATGGAGCCACGTTGAAACAAATCACCTCCTTGTACATCGCATTAATTCTCAAATAAGGTAATGTAACTAGATACCTGGTCCACGTGACCATACATTTTCAAGATATTGTATAAAAGTTATGAATATAGAAAACTTATGTAATATTTTTAAAAATAATACTCCCTCTCTCCCATAATATAAGCTGTTTGGGTTTATATTTTTTGTCTCATAATATAAGCTTTCCAGATTTCAATGCAGAAAAAAAGAAAAGAAAAAATAAATAAAAATGCAAAAACAAGAAAGAGAAAGGTAGAGATTGGTCTAAAAGATTTTATATTTATTTATATCTTTAATTAAGTATTTTAAAAGACATAAAGTAATATTTTCTTAATAATTGTGCTCAAGCCTAAAAAAACTTATAAAATGGGACAGAGGGAGTAATGAACAAAGTTTAGATCAATGAACTTTTTATTCAGCACTAATACTTTACAAATTTAGTATGTTGAATTATGTGAGGAAAAATTAATAAATAGAATCCTTATTTAGCAAACCATTAATCAAATTGACTTGGTGGTTTAATTGTTCTTTTGTACCAGTAATGAATTCATCGTTGGAGAACAGAGGAGCAGTAAATCTTTTTTCTTTTTTGGTTAAAATAGTTGTATTCTTTAGAATCTGAGTTGATGGAATTTTACTGAAAAAGACTAATTTTATGGTTTTAGGCACACAAAAAAACGTGTTAGTAAAAGGTGTTCCAGATAGAGTGTTTAAACAGAGAACTTGAAACATGTAAGTTGCTAGCACAATAAAAAAAAGTTCATTAGAAACTGGAAAAAAAATTATTGTCGTTGTAAAGAGTATGGAGCCAAGACGTTGCAAGGACGAATCAAAGCATAAATGAAGTTATTGCATCTATATATATTCACTTCATGCATCTATTTATATATATTTGTTATTCTTACAACAAATTAAATTCCATTAGATGCAAGTGTGACGCTATTATACAAAGGTAAAATAGCAGAATTAGTTAGTTTCTTAATAGCGTCACACTTATCTCTCTATAAATATTATGTATATCATCTCTCTGAATGATACTATAATTTTAAACCAATGATGAATCACATGATTTTCATCATAGCAATTTAATTGATTTAGGCGATAATCAGCTAAAATATCAGTTTTTTTTTTGGCTTTTTGTATTGATACAAAAATAAAAACGACACTTTCAACTATTTATTTCCTCGTGAAGTGTTCACACACATATCAAAGAAGCTAAACTTAAAAAAAATAGGCTCTTTAAATAAATCCCTCCTTCTCGCCTTCATTGCTCAACAAACACTACACTGTACACTGTAGAGTGTAGAGAGTATCAAAACCATGGCCACTTCAAAAACACCATCTCTAGCTACTTCTCTTCCTCTTCTTCTTCTTCTTGCTTTCCTCTTCTGTCTCTCAACCGCACACTCCTCCACCAACTCCATCGGCAAAGGCTACCGTCTAATCTCCATCGAAGAATCTCCAGACGGTGGTTTCATCGGCTATCTCCAAGTCAAGCAAAAAAACAAAATCTACGGCTCAGATATCACCACACTCCGTCTCTTCGTCAAGTAAGTCAAACTCGAATAATCCTCTACTTCGCACCCTACACTAACCTCCTTCATTTCTAACCGTTGGATTCATCATTCTCCAACAGGCACGAGAACGATAACCGTCTCCGTGTTCACATCACAGACGCCAAGAAACAACGATGGGAGGTTCCATACAACCTCCTCCCGCGAGAACAGCCACCGCCGGTCGGAAAAGTCATCGGAAAATCAAGAAAATCTCCCATCACAGTCCAAGAAATCTCCGGAACAGAGCTAACTTTCAGCTTCACCGCAGATCCGTTCAGCTTCGCCGTGAAACGCAGATCCAACGGCCAAACACTCTTCAACACGAGCTCAAACGGAGCCTCCTTCGGAGAAATGGTGTTCAAAGACCAATACCTCGAGATCTCGACTTCTTTACCTAAAGACGCTTCGATCTACGGTTTAGGAGAGAACTCTCAGGCCAATGGGATCAAACTCGTCCCGAACGAGCCTTACACTCTCTACACGGAGGACGTGTCGGCGATTAACTTGAACACCGATCTTTACGGATCTCATCCGGTTTACATGGATCTGAGAAACGTCGGAGGTAAAGCTTACGCTCACGCCGTTCTGCTTCTCAACAGTAACGGCATGGATGTGTTTTACAGAGGGACTTCGTTGACGTACAAAGTCATCGGAGGCGTTTTCGACTTCTACTTCGTCGCCGGACCTTCGCCGTTAAACGTCGTCGATCAGTACACTTCGTTAATCGGACGGCCAGCTCCGATGCCGTATTGGTCTTTGGGTAAGTTACATTTATTGCTCTGCTTCACGTTCTCTGTTCCTTCTCTTAGTTAATGTTTAATTATGCTAATTAAAAAATGTTAGAATACGATTAAAGACTTTATAATGTATAGTTTTTGTCTTATAGGATTAGTATTAGATTTGACTTGTAGTCAAAAGAAGGATCACGTGAAAAGAAGATCTGTTTCTATGCAAATCAGAAACTATATTAATTTAGTGTTACTATTAAAAGAAGATCTGTTTTTTTTTTGTGGTCAATTAGTCTAACAATATAACTAAACTAAAGTGTTGAATATCGGATCTTTCCGACACAGCTTTTAGAAAGCTTACCCTTTTTGTGGGATATGTGTATTAATGAAGGTCGCTTTCTAATTATGAGAAGATAGAACTTGAAGACGTGTTTGCTTTACTTTCCTCTTTTGTTGATCTTAAAGCGTTGAAAAAAAATTGAATGAATGATTTTATTGGTCCCTAACATGATCTTAAAGAAACTGGACCACTGTTCTGTAATAATGTCTTTTTTGCTTTTTACTAATCATTTTTTTTTTGTGTTGTAGGATTTCACCAATGTAGATGGGGATACAAAAATCTATCAGTAGTTGAAGACGTTGTAGACAGTTACAAAAAGGCAAAGATCCCACTCGATGTTATCTGGAACGATGATGATCACATGGATGGTCACAAAGACTTCACGTTGAATCCAATAACCTATCCACGTGAGAAGCTGTTAGCGTTCTTGGACCGGATCCACAAGATGGGAATGAAGTACATTGTGATCAACGATCCTGGTATCGGCGTAAACGCAAGCTACGGTGTATACCAACGAGCCATGGCTAATGACGTGTTCATCAAGTATGAAGGAAAACCATTCTTGGCTCAAGTTTGGCCTGGTGCGGTTCACTTCCCTGATTTCCTTAACCCTAAGACGGTTGCTTGGTGGGGAGACGAGATCCGTCGGTTCCATCAACTAGTCCCTATTGATGGTTTATGGATCGACATGAACGAGGTTTCGAATTTCTGCTCTGGATTGTGTACAATACCTAAAGGGAAGATATGCCCTAGCGGAGAAGGACCTGGTTGGATTTGTTGCTTGGACTGCAAGAATATAACCAAGACGAAATGGGATGAGCCTCCTTACAAGATCAATGCGACTGGAGTCAAAGCTCCTATCGGTTTCAAGACTATAGCCACTAGCGCTTTGCATTACAATGGTGTTAGAGAGTATGATGCTCATAGCATCTATGGCTTCTCTGAGACTATAGCGACGCACAAGGCTTTGCAGTCTATCGAAGGGAAGCGTCCTTTTATCTTGTCTAGGTCTACTTTCGTTGGTTCGGGGAAATACGCTGCTCATTGGACCGGAGATAACCAAGGAACGTGGCAGAGCTTGCAAGTGTCTATCTCAACGATGTTGAACTTTGGAATCTTTGGTGTTCCCATGGTTGGTTCTGACATTTGTGGGTTTTATCCGCAACCGACAGAGGAGCTGTGTAACCGTTGGATCGAGGTCGGTGCGTTTTATCCGTTTTCGAGAGATCATGCTAACTACTACTCTCCGAGGCAAGAGCTTTACCAATGGGACACGGTTGCTGATTCGGCACGTAACGCTCTTGGTATGAGATACAAGATCCTTCCTTTCCTCTACACACTTAACTACGAAGCTCATGTGACCGGTGCACCGATCGCTAGACCGCTCTTCTTCTCTTTCCCTGAGTACACCGAGTGTTACGGCTCGAGCAGACAGTTCTTGCTCGGAAGCAGTTTGATGATATCTCCGGTTCTTGAAAAGGGCAAAACCGAAGTGGAAGCTTTGTTCCCGCCAGGTTCTTGGTACCATATGTTCGACTTGACTCAGGCCGTTATGTCCAAGAAAGGGAAGCGTGTGACTCTCCCTGCTCCGTTGAACTTCGTGAACGTTCATCTTTACCAGAACACAATCTTGCCCATGCAACAAGGAGGGTTGATCTCGAAAGAAGCGAGAACGACGCCGTTTAGTCTCGTTGTTACTTTCCCGGCGGGAGCTTCTGAGGGATATGCTAGTGGTAAACTGTTTTTAGACGAGGACGAGCTTCCGGAGATGAAGCTAGGAAACGGACAGTCCACGTACGTTGACTTCTACGCTTCGGTTAGTAATGGAAGTGTGAAGATGTGGTCGCAAGTTAAGGAAGGGAAGTTTGCGTTGAGCAAAGGATGGATCATTGAGAAAGTAAGTGTTTTGGGACTTACGGGAACAGGACAGGCTTCTGAGATTGAGATCAATGGAAGTCCGGTGACGAAGGAGATGAAAAAGATTGAGGTAAGCTCGAAGGAGCATAGTTATGCGGTTGGTTTGGAAGGTGAAGAAGAGAACAAGAGTGTGATGGTTGAAGTTAGAGGACTTGAGATGCTTGTGGGTAAGGACTTTAAAATGTCTTGGAAAATGGGTGTTAATGGTGCTTAATTAATCTACATGTGAGAGTTTGGTTAAATCATTGGAGAGGAGAGTGAGATTTTATTTAAGAAACAAAAAGTATTCTCATTCTTCTTTGTTCGGATAATAGAGGTTTGGTTGTTAGATTGTGCCTTTCTCTTTTGTTAGAAGATGTTTTGTCAAACAAAACAACAAAGCTTGAATAAAAAGTTTGGGAACAATATGTATTATTGTTATCTTTGGTTTCTTGATTTGCTTACCTTTTTTTCCAAGTTACTGACACAGGATAAGGTTTTGTGAAGTCCCAAATATTTCAATAGGACCATATATGTTTCCTGGATATTTTTTACAAAATCGAAGCAGAGATATTGAGGCTTTCGAAAAAAGTCTAATGATTTTGTTTCATACATGTTGGCAAGTTTCGGGTTTGGCACTTGTGGGCTTCACGCTAAATATATTCTTAACCAAAGTGGGAACATATCGATAAAACTAGAGTTATTAAACGGATCAATGAGGCTTGAAAATACTGTTCATGAGATTTTAACCATAGACTCAATTTGTTGTATGTCTACTACATTTATTGCGTCATATAACTATCCGTTATTGACTTACTGTTTGTTTATTGTGTCACCATTAAATGTTTCATAGTACATGAATGTTGTGTCATTGTTTTGGTTGTTTACATTTTACATTTAGTTTTGTATGCGTAACGTTTGTACATAAAGGATGATGCAATCGCCTGTTGCATACAAAAACCGAAGACTATTCATCAACGTGATATCATTATCATCAAACGTATATGTCATGTAACGGTCAAAGATTTGTCCTTCTTCGATAAGGTTTTTCTTGGTTTCTTCATACCCAACCATTGACCATACATTTAATATTAACAGTATCATAAAAATCAAGCCTTCCTTCTTCTTTTTATATAATAAAAATTAAGCTTTATGTTGTTAGATTTATAAGTTGTCGCCATCTTGAGGGGTTTTTATTTTCTGTCTCAATACACATACACATGCTAATAAATCTAACAGTGAAGACAACAGAATCTAACAAAAGTTAGGCAAAGATCTATGGCTCTAATTCAAAAAGCCTAGTACATGAAAAGTCCAGCCCACAAAATCCAATATCCTAAGCCCTACGGCTTTATTGTGCTCACACTAATCCAAAACCTTCAATAATTTATATATTCAGTCGACAATGTTTTAGAGAAAACAATATAGTAACAGTACCATTTTGACTAGTCGTTGTAGCAGTAGATTAGGTATCAACTGTTAAACCTTAATTAAGAACGAATTCATAGTTTTCTCTGTGACTGTACCTAGCGGTGAAGAAATAACACGTCATCAAATACTAGTATTAATTATACTCCTTTCCCCAACAACTTTTATAAATTGTTTTCAACTTGTCGGCTTTTACTACACTTCGTTAATTATTATTGGAGAATTTTTCGTGTAAACAATTATTTACACACACTATTAGTCTATTTTACTGTAAACTGTTAACAAATTACAGATGCTAGACGTATTAGACCCGACAAATATTTGATATTGTAACAGTTCGTTTTATCCAAAGCCAAGTTTGTAAAAAAAGATACGGTTAATACTTTAATATTTTTTTTATTGTGTGCTGTTCGTTAAGGTGTTTGACTATAGTACTATACGGTTAATAATCGAATATGTATCACATCAGAAAAAGAAGGAAAAGTAAAATAAAAAAATGAAGCAATACGGTGACATTGAGAAACGAGTCATGAGTCTATCGCAAAGGACAAAGAGGCACGTGGCAGTAGTGAGTACGTGGCGAGAGATGAGATAGGTTAGGTGATGGTAGTTTCTTTTTTGGGCGGGAAGAAATAAGGGCGGGAAAGCGGGACCCAGTAGAATGGCAGGCGGCTAAATGGCGGGAAAAAGAGAGAGGAGAGGTCTGAAGGAAGGGGGACAGAGCTTCGAGCCACGCGCCACCGCTTGCGTGGCCCACTTATAGACTCTTCCTTCTTCGTGGACCCACCTTTTTTTCACCTTATATTATTTGTTTAGAAAATATAAATTACAAAAATTCTTTTCAACGTCTCTGAAATGACTTATCCGACGAAAGATTTTAAACAGTTCTATATTGCTTCAATTTTTTTTTTTTTTTTAATAACCGTGATGATCCAAAGGCTTTCTAGATTTAAGACTAATTTCACGAAACCCACATAATCCATATGTTCTTACCTTTTAAGAGTCTGATAGCCGGGAACTCGAACTCATGATACATTTCTTACTTTTAATAACAAAGCCATCGGAGTCCAAAATAATTTCGTCGGATTTAACATCTACAGTTTGATTCATAACTTTAGAATAATACAACCCATTATAATGTTCAAATTTCGAGTATGCACTTCGATAAAGAAAGAGGAAAATGGATTCCGTAACAAGTATTAAGGATTGTAACCAATAAAAACAAATGTTAAGTACGATCAAGGTTCAAAACATTCACAAAATAAGTTGGAAACCACAATCGTAATATTGTTATAAATCGTTAAGAGATTAGAGATATAATGTTCGAGAAGGTTAGGCAACAGTCACCATAACTATCTAAAATCACCGTTCAAAATCATGATGGTTATCTTGAAATTTGTTAAAAATACAGTTATACGAACGAACACACGAGATTTGAAATCCATCGATTCGATTATATATTGAACTAGTTTTTTACGTATGTTAGTGTGCCAGCATAACAAAATTAAGATTTGGGATTATAAACTAAGTTTCGGATTTTTTATTTTTAAGAGATGGATCGTGATTCTTGAAAATTTTACAACAGGTATGAAATTTGCATATTGCATTTTAAATAAGCGTTTAAATAACTTTAGTGAGGTTTGTGAACACACTAACATTATACCCCAAAAAAAGGTTTGTGAACACATCACAAACAATTGTGAAAACAATATAAATGTTAAACTCTTACCGTACCATATTGTTAAGTTGTCTTTGTGAGAAAACAATAGAAATGTATATATTCTCACTTTATTGTATTGTTCGGTTGTCTTTCTAGAGTTCTTTGAAGTCTCTTAGTATGTTTTCAAGCTCAAGTAATTGAATGAAAGAAATGTTCGCTAGTCGATTAAAGTTTTCTCGCGATTCAATTGAAAATGTTTCCAACACAACATATAATTTTTGGGAAGTATCCAACATAAAATCTTCTTACATGTTTGGAAGTATCTTACATAAAAAAAAGAGTCTTCTTATACTTTGGCCGAATTTGTAATAACGAGTACAATTTTATTAGTGGAGTTTCTATCAACAATAAGTCAATAATTTTCTTTTGGACATAACCGTCTCTATCTTATGAACTCCGAGATTCAACAATGAAATTCCAACGAAGTAGCTACATCTTGGATCTATCAAATAAAATTTTGGCAGTTGCAAACAATGCAAAATTTTGATATGGACGAACAGTTTTTTAATGGAATCAACATTAAAAAAAAAAATATATATATATATATACTCGTTAACTAATTATGTGCATAACAAGCACGCGGAAAAAAATTGAACAAAACAGTAAAAAAAATTATCAGTAAGCTTAAAATTGATGAATGATTGTTAGTGTGCAAGTATGACCGTATTTGGGATTGGAAACCAAAATCAAATTTAGTAGGAGATGAGTCCATGAGTCATGACTCTTCAAAAATTCACAACATTTATATTATTACCATACAAATTCATGGTTATCACTGTTTAAAGAGAATAAGAATATTAAAATTATACTAATAATTTCGATTACTCAGAGCATATTTCTCCATCTATAAAAACTTTTTGAGTTTTATTTTCTTTAAATGAGGTAACAAATACAACGTAGTGTCACTCGGAATTCTCAATAGATTATGAGAACCAATCATACCTTCTCTCTCATACTACCAAAATAAAACTGAAAACCTCCTTGAGAATCCCTTGATGGAATGCTCTTATGATTAAAAAAGCAAAACAAATTCGTGTGTTTAAATAAGTTTACTACGAAAGAGTTGTGGAACATGTATGCATGCACTGCCATAATAAATCCAGATTGAAACGCCTTATCACGCACCAAAAGAACATTTGGTTTGGTAACATGTTAGTTTAGTAATAATTTTATGTCACATTTGGTTTCACGATCGCACATGATATAAAGATATCAGTTTTGGATTTTGGAATGAATATTTGTGGGGTACTTTATAAGAGAGATCACGTGAATTTGAGAGAGGTGGACCATTAGGAGAAACCTTTCTGCCTCTGTAAACTTCGCAGGTGGCAAAGAGCCGATGCTCCTGATTCACCTAAATGTGACGACGTGTTGCTCCCATGAACCCATATCCTCGTTCACGTGCATCTCACATGCCAGACAATTAGATTCTCTCTCACTAAATTTTTCATGTTTTTAAAATACACACTTTATTATTATTACCACTAGGTCGTGGCACCATTAAATTTTGTCACACCTTTAGATTCTCGTATTGATATTTTTTTTCTAACCTAGGAGAGATGATTGGTACATGCTGTAGAAGCTGCGCACAGCCAAAAAAAACTCTAAACCCCAAATAGATTACCAATTATACTCTACAATATTTTTTAAAACTCACAGTCCAGTTTTCTTTAATTTTTATGCTGTACACAGCCAAAAATCTAGAGCACTATTTTAAAGGATGTGGTTTTTCTTTTCTCTTTCTTCTAAACTTTCCATTTATTTTTTTATTTTTTTTTTCCTTTTTTCTTTATTATCATTTTCCTTTTTTGTCTATTTCCATTTCTTCTAAAATCCTACAATTAAAATTCTAGAGCAACAAATTTTACAACCACAACCACACAACATACATCTAAAATTCTACAGCAAAAAATAAAAGCCACAACAAGTACCAATCAGGGCCCTATGTACGAGAATCAATCATATATTTCTAAATTCACAAAATCTTGAATCCCGGGGTTCATATCTATGGAAGGTGTTATGGAAAGATCTTTCTAGTTTATGATTTGGTATATCAATTATCAGAAGCTTAATTTTGGGAGTTATTT